TTACAATTTTAACTTTAATAATTGTTTAAAAAAAATAAAGAATATTCCCCTTTCCCGGGGGGAATCCGATCTGAGGTAATTGAGAAGGCTGCCTATCCTTCGGGTACAGGGAAGGTCACGAGAGGTATCTCTCTTGGAGCTCAATCACTTACACACTCTCCCCCCCATCCACACACACACAGACTACCCGTCCACACAGACTGACCCCCCCCCACACACACACAGACTAACCCCCTCACCCACACATAGACCTATACAAACAGACTGCCCCACCACACACACACACACAGACTGACCCCCACCCACACACAGACTGACCCCCCCCACCCACACACAGACCCATACACATAGACTGCCCCTACCACACAGATACACAGACTGACCCCCACACAGACAGAGACTTGCCGATACCCACTCAGAGACTGAATCACACACACAGACTGAACCACACACATGGACTCACACTTACCAGCAGCTGCCTGGATGCCTCATTCCCCCCACACTCTGTGCAGGTGAGCTTCTTCCTGTCTCTCCCCTGTGCTGCTCCAGCAGAAAGTTCCTCCCAGCACAGTGCCCCCTTTGGCTGCACTTGGAATTCCATACTTCAAAGAAAGATAGAGATAGGGGCCCCGACAGACCACCCACCTCTGTGCACTGCCGACAGTCGGAGGGCCCATCAGGCAAGTGGGAACTGACAGCACTGCTGCTGCAGCTTGTAAAGGGAGACTCAGTGTTCCCGACTTCAATTTTAATTGGGAGAGGGAACACAAGGGGGGGCACTTTTTGTTAAATGAAAAAGGACGGTTGTTTTTATACATAAAGTACTTCAGCAAGCTAAACTGCTTTAGGTGGCTGGAGCGTTCCTTAAAGAATTTAGCATTTAGCAAAATAAAAAAAATAAAGTGTTTGTCTACTCTACTCACTGGTAAATGCCCTGACTTTACAGACAAGCCATTTCCCCTAACATTCAAGCTGAGGCACTGTCAGAGATGGGGACACGTTTTAAGTCTGTGACACTGCCTGGTTTATTTATTTAGTTTAGAGAAATCCAGTATATGATAGGAAAGTGCCTGTTTAGGTTTTCACCCCTACCTTCAAAATAAATATCTAATTCAAACACTCCATCCTGTACACCTGTCTGCCACCTGCTGTACTAAGTGCATGCTGTTTACTGGCATTGGCCCTAGCTGGTAACCACTAAGATCAAGGACTATCTGTCACACACCTGCATTTCTCCGGAGGATGAAGGCCAATGCTGGAACAAAGTAGACATAATGATGTGTTTTGCAGGCTTAATGTTGCGTTATAATTTTATTATTATTTTATTATTTATATAGCGCCATCAGATTCCGTAGCGCTGTACAATAGCATTTGTATTTTGTTTTATGAATTCACTTTTTTTTTTAGTTATACAGAAAAAGTAGAGACTACCTTTTCTTATGGGGGGGGGGGCGTGATTTTTGACAATGGACGGAGCTTGAGCAAAGTTCTTTTTTACTTGGCTCCGCTAATTTACCCACCATACAGCAGTCAAGAGAATCCAACAGAGGAGAGCAAAACAAAGGCACCCATATATTGAGAATTATTATCTGCATTTATATAGTGCCAACAAATTCCATAGCGCTTTACAATATTAAAGAAGGGGGAGATTTAACAATAAATTACAAAAACTTACAGGAACAATAAGTTGGAGAGGACCCTGCTCAAACGAGCTTATAGTCTAGAGCAGTGATGGCAAACCTTTTTGAGCCCGAATGCTCAAACCGCACTACATGCCAATTGCTTTTTTCTCAAAGTGCCAACACGGCAAATACACCTGAATACTGAGGTTTAAGTTTAGACAAAACAACTCATACAGTTGTCTGAACTAATTAACATATTTTGTTTTAAAAGAAGAATACAATGATACAAATTATAAATAATGATATAAATTGTAGATAAAATTAAGCTTATATTTATTAGTATATCCAACAAATGCAATCCATACATACAATACATACACACAGACTGCTGAACAAATTCACACACCGACTCCTGAATACATACACACATACAGACCGCTGAATACATACACACAGTCCGCTGAATACATGCACACAGTACGCTGAATACACGCTCACACAGACTCCAGAATACACACAAACTGCTGAATACACATACAAACAGACTGCTGAATACACACACTGCTGAATACAGCTACAGAATGCTGAATACATACACACAGACTGCTGAATACATACACACAGTCTGCTGAATACATACATACAAACAGTCCGCTGAATACACACACACAGCAACGCTCCACACAGCCTGCTCGCGGGAGGAGTGATCTGCTTCCCAGATCCCTCCCTCTGCTTCCAGGTCCTTCCAATACGATAGCAGAGTAGGTGCCTGCCATTATGGGAAGGCAGCTGCCTACTCTGCATTGCTGCCAACCGGCGCCAGCGCCCCCCCCTTTCAGCACCCTACAGCCGTGTGCCCACAGAGAGGGCTCCGCGTGCCACCTGATGCACGCATGCCATAGGTTTGCCATCACTGGTCTAGAGGATGTCACATGAAAGATTTAATAAATATAAACAGACCTGGGCAATGAAGGGAGTATAATCAATAGGATTTAAGGTGCATAAGAGAAGGGAAAACTGGAGTTAGCATGACAATGCAGCTTTAATTATAGTTAAAGCAGAAGTACAGGTACAGAAGGTGTTAAACCCCAAGTTATCAGACATTTCAAATACATTTTAAACAAACGTTTGCCACATGGCGACCAAACAAATTAAACATGTCCATGTCTAATAAACCTCTCTAGTTACCCTGTCCATAATGAAGGTTTATACAGGTTTTCACTGCAAGGACTTTGTCCTGGCACATACTGTACAAAGGCAAGATTTGCAACAGATTTATCCTTGGTTTTGTTCACTAAAAATCAAACTGCAGTGAATTGATACATTTTTGCAAGTATCCCATTACAAGCTTAGCAATCTTTATCTGCATGAACAAAGTGCCATCTAGTGGTAGCTGGGAAAATGGCTCTTGCATGGAATTTATTTTGATTACCAAAAACAGCAAAAAAAAATTAAAAAAAATGTTTTAATGCTTTTTTTTTTTTGTCACATTACTAATGAGCCTGTGTACTAAAGTAGTATTAAAAGTGGACATTCAAACATGTTCAACTGCATCACTTACAATTTTAATGCACGTGATACAAACAGAGCCCTCTTAAAGGAAAGCTAGTGTGTGGAATAGAGGTTTGTATTCCTAATGCCATTTAATGCCGTCATCTCCTTCCCCCCTCCTTGCAATAAAAATGGTTTAAAACAGGGGTTTCTACTCTCCTTTTTCCAGGCATTGTTTCCTTGCTGATAGTACAATCCAATGCTCATTACAGACGAGCACTAGAGACATGATGCGCATGCACAATGAGCGCTGTGTGTTTATTTAATCAAGCTGTATTTGATCGTTTACGTCCTTATGGATATCGAACATCACATGACCGAGGTATCCTTGATCGTTACAGTGGAATGGTATCTAGTGACTGTCAGTGTGACAGCCGCTACAGGTGTGTTAAATACTACAAGCTTAATATTGCTGTGTCTTCAAAACTGCAATGTTTTACATTGAAGGGTTAACAATATAGGGTCACTGCACCCAGATCAGTTGATTGAGATTAAGTAGTCTGGGTGTGTTTAGTTGTCCTACAAACATATCTTAAGTCAATCTATTAATAAAGACCAGTGACTTGTATTGCCTACTATTCATAGAGACACTCCACTGCCCAAATTTGAAAAAAATAAATAAATAAATATGTAGTATATACAACACCAATGAAAATATGTATACGTTTAATAGTGTATTTTTTATATGGGGGGTGTGCCTAAAATCTTCTTGCATAAACAGCCTTTGCAAGCTCTCCCCTTATCATCCAGCCCAGACTGTCTGTGACTGTCCAATCAGACTTCCCAGTGCAACTCATTGAGAAGTCTTTGCAAGGCAGGTTCTCTGAGCAATTGCCTCCAGCCTGAGTTTAACTCCACAGAGACAATCACTGGGGTGTAACTAGATTAATTAAGAAAAGTGCCAATTTCTATTAAAATCTGTACTTTTTGTCCAATGAAAATATATATATATTTATTTTAAAAAGAGGTCTCACTCCTCACACTTCTGCAGGCTGAAGTGCTTTAAGGGTCTGTAGTGTCCCTTAAATAACATGTTAATCAACATGTTGCAGAAGAAAAGTTAATTTGATACAAACAGGGATTTATCAGTATGCATTAATATATACACACACTAATTTGAAAAATCACTTTTTATATATGATTCTTTCAAGTCTAAATTATGTAAGATATCGTGAGTCTTAATCAAGTGATATATTGCATGGACGTTTGTTTAAAAAAAAATGAAATACATACAGACATAATCTCTAGAGTTACTTTGTACACATACAAACACTGTACAGAAAATATCTAATTATTTCCTCCCATAAATGTTCTATTGAATATGCAATTTAGACTGTCCTTAGAGCATTATACAAATATCTAGATTTATTTGTACATGGTAATATATGCAAAAACATTGAAGCATTGAGAACATGACATGCATATTTATTATCGCTATTGTCAATCTTCCATTTAATAAAGAACAGAATTATGCTACAAGCTACGACCAATGGGATCCAGAAACTAAACTGCATCTCTGCTCTCAAATCTGTCCGTCTAATCTAAATGTGTTTATCTTTCTGGCGGTTACTATGTTTTTAAGAAACCTAAAACATTCTGACACAGGGTTATTCACTAAGGGGAGAATTCAAAGTGGACTTAGCATTTAAGACCAAAGTAGCCGATCTGGAACCATTGTGGGTTTCTAGTTTCATTTTTTTTTTTTTTACCTTGAAATTGAAATTAATTTTGAATTCTCACGTTAGTGAATAACTGGAGTTTTCTGTATTAAACATAGAAACATAGAATGTGATGGCAGATAAGAACCATAAATACTTTCATTAGTCCCTGGCCTTATCTTATAGTTAGGATATTCTTATGCCTATCCCACGCATGCTTAAACTCCCTCACTGTGTTAACCTCTACCACTTCAGCTGGAAGGCTATTCCATGCATCCACTACCCTCTCAGTAAAGTAATACTTCCTGATATTTTTAAACCTTTGCCCCTCTAATTTAAGACTATGTCCTCTTGTTGTGGTAGTTTTTCTTCTTTTAAATATAGTCTCCTCCTTTACTGTGTTGATTGCCTTTATGTATTTAAATGTTTCTATCATATCCCCCCTGTCTCGTCTTTCCTCCAAGCTATACATGTTAAGATCCTTTAACCTTTCCTTGTAAGTTTTATCCTGCAATCCATGAACCAGTTTAGTAGCCCTTCTCTGAACACTCTCTAAAGCATGGGTTGCCAACCTGGTCCCTACCACCCACCAGTGGGCATTTTGGGATTCCAGGTGGGCGGTAGCAGAATCCTCACTCCATCCAGAGAGACGAACGCTTTATTCATCTCCCGCGCACTCAGTGGTAAGCAGGAAGTGCGAGATTGCAGATGCGAGTGCATGAAAGCGCGATCATGTGTGCCTGAACGCGCATGTGCGCCCATATCGCACGGGCGTATGCACATACGAATGTGTGCGCTCGTGAACGAGTGTAATACGTGGGTAGAGGAAGGGGAGGAGTTGGAGTCGGTAAGGGGATACACGATAGCAGGGAGTGGAGTACTTGGAAAATAACAGAAAGAAGGAGCAGAGTACTTGTAGAATAGGAGAATGAAGGAGCAGAGTACTTGTAAAAAAAGGAGGAGAAAGAAGGAGCAGAGTATTTGTAAAGAAAGAGCAGAGTACTTGTAAAAAAAGGAGGAGAAAGAAGGAGCAGAGTACTTGTAGAATAGGAGAAAGAAGGAGCTGAGTACTTGTAGAATAGGAGAAAGAAGGAAAATAAAAAATATAAAAAGGAAAAGGAGAGAATTGTTGTTGGCTAATAATAATAAGTGGGCTACCATGCTCAGCTGTCCTTCTGGGCATTGCTATAAGGAAGGTAAAAAAATAGAAAAAAGGGGGAGGGGAATTGAGGAGGGAGAGGAGGGGAGCTGATGCATGGATGAGAAATCATATTATGAGCAAACAGAGAAATCGTCTGAATATCCTTGAAAGAGGAGACCTTCGTTTGTTCCTTACGAAAATCGAACCAGATATCAAATATTTAGTCTTGCAGCATAAGCCTCAAGGATCTCATTAAGCACTAGTAAAGGTAATTTCAATGTACTTTATTGTTTTCTCATTAAACTTTCTAAATTTAAAAACATTATAAACATGCATAAAGTAGAAATAAAAAGATAAATGTACGTACTTTTAAAAAAAAAAAAACACCCTCATTCTAAAAAATATTCAGCACTTGCGCGAAAACTGGTGGGCGGTAAGGAAATTTTTCCATCAAGAAAGATGCATTAGTGGGCAGTAGGTAGAAAAAGGTTGACTACCCCTGCTCTAAAGTATCAATATCCTTCTGGAGATGCGGTCTCCAGTACTGTGTACAATACTCCAAGTGAGGTCTCACCAGTGCAATGGCATGAGCACTTCCCTCTTTCTACTGCTAATACCTCTCCCTATACAACCAAGCATTCTGCTAGCATTTCCTGCTGCTCTATTACATTGTTTGCCTACCTTTAAGTAAACTGAAATAATTACCCCTAAATCCCTTTCCTCTGATGTTGAGGTTAGGACTCTATTAAATATTCTATATTCTGCCCTTGGGTTTTTACGTCCAAGATGCATTATCTTGCACTTATCAACATTAAATGTCAGCTGGCACAAATCTGACCATTTTTCTCGTTCACCTAAATCATTTGCCATTTGACTTATCCCTCCTGGAACATCAACCCTGTTGTATATCTTAGTATCATCAGCAAAAAGACATACCTTACCATCAAGACCTTCTACAATATCACTAATAAAAATATTAAAGAGAATGGGTCCAAGTACAGATCCCACTGGTGACAAGATAATGCTTTGAATATACAATATATATTAAAAAGTGCTGCTAGACTGCTGAGTGATCATTTTTGAAGCACTATATTGAAAACGTTTTGAAACATGCAACTAAAATTCATAAGAATATAAATAAAATAACTTACCATTGATGTTGCAGCAGATCCCCTGGCCTAGCCCAGACCTGGAAGTGGCTCAGACAATCACTGTGCACTCATCATTTTCAATATAGCGGAGCATATCCCATAATCCTGTGCTCTGCAGATATTTATGGGACATATAGTGTAGTACTTATATACATGTATATCTATAGTATAGCAATCCCGTTCATTACATAACATGAGTAGAATTGCTGTGTAAATTGACAGTAGCTACTGTTTGTCTACATCTGCTATTATCTTAATGACCGAGAGAGAGAGCATATATATACCTTCCTTTTATTTATTAACATTAAAATATTTAATGTAAGTCATTGTGTAGTGGGATCTGAATCCCAATTAACTTGTAAAAACAAAACAGTAAACATGCGCCAACATTACCATTTAATCTCACTTGTGAAATGTAACGTTTCTTTGCAGTTAATTGGATTACACACGCAAAAAATACATTTATTCACTAAATTGCATTTTCCGTTTCAGAGGGATGCAGTTAATATTCTACAGAATCCTACTGAAACAACACTAATAATTGAAGCTCCGCTGTAGCGTATATGGATATAATGTTATATCCTATCGGAGCTCACTGATTTGAATTCAGATATAACAATCAATGGGACAAACCCCTTTGAATACCAATGAGATGCTAATTTAGACCCTTTAAGCTTTAGGAAGTATTGTGACAGCCAGGCAGTAATTGCAAATAGTGCTGGGTAAACATGTTGATGGTTATTTAAAGCACATTTTAGTCGGACACACACACATACATTGAAAGACATACTGAGTGTGTGTGTCTGTGTCAGCATGTCTGTCAGTTTGTGTCTCTGTGTTAGTGTGTCTGAGTTGTGTCAGTAGGTCTATCAGTGTATGTGTTTGTGTGTCTGAGTGTGTGCCAGTGTATCTGTCAGCATGTCTGTCAGTGTATGTGTGTGTTAGTATATATGTCAGTATGTGTCTATGTATCTGTATGTGGTCAGTGTGTGTATCTGTGTATCTGCATGCTGTCAGTGTGTGTATCGGTGTGTCTATGTATATACATGTGTGTCAGTGTTTGTATCTGTGTATCTCCATGTGTGTCAGGTTGTGTATCTATGTGTCTGTATGTTTGTCACTTTATCTGTATATTGTCATTGTGTGTATCTGTGTATCTATATGTAAGCAGTATATGTATCTGCTTGTGTGTCGATGTGTGTATCTGTGTGTCTGTTTATCTGCATGTGTGTCAAGTTGTGTATCTGTGTCAGTGTGTGTGTCTGTATATCTGCAAGTGAGGCAATGTAGGTGCATACATCTCAGCATCCAAACGCCAATACTACACACAAATACACCCCTGCATTCAAACTTTAAAACTACATACAAACAAACTACTGCATTGAAACGTCCACACTACGTACAAACACACCTCTGTGTTAAACACCAATATTAAATATAAAAACACCCCTGCATTCAAAAACCAACACTACACATAAATGGATATTTGCATTGAAACGCCACATACAAACACACCCCTACATTCACAGAAACATACTCCATACAAAACAATGCTTAAATTCAAACACACAAACGCTGCTCATTGCTAAATACAACCTTGCAAGCATGGGAAAATGATAGAGCCTCAGAAGTCAAAGCATTGTTGGAGTTGCATGACAGATGAGGATCTACCTTTTGACTAGCCTTGCGATAGTGGGGCCCGTCTTGCACCAGGGCCCTCTCCACTTTAGTTCCACCACTACGTTGTAGTGGATGACATGATTGCATGCCAGTGAGTGGGGGGGGGGACCCTGGGAGCCCAAGCAAATGCTTGCCCAGGGTCCAACCATTATTAAAGATGGCCCTGGACAAGGGACAACATAACACTTTAGAGCGAATACATCGATTCATGGGCTGGTACTGGGAGACTAAAAATACAAGTCAATCCAGAACAAAAACTGAAAAAATGGTTTATTGCATCAAAATAAGCAGTCATACATGTTGCACCATAGATTTGTATGAATTACAGCCTGATCTATTTTTCACCATGCAGAAGGTTTATGATTAAAGGACCACTATAGGCACCCAGACCACTTCAGCTTAATGAAGTGGTCTGGGTGCCAGGTCCATCTAGGATTAACCCTTTTTTTTATAAACATAGCAGTTTTTCTGAAACTGCTATGTTTATAAATGGGTTAATCCAGCCTCTAGTGGCTGTCTCTTGACAGCCGCTAGAGGCGCTTGCATGCTTCTCACTGTGAAATGCTTTCCTATGAGACAGGCTGAATGCGCGCGTGGCTCTTGCTGCGCATGTGCATTCAGCCGAAGAGGAGGAGAAGAGGGAGGAGAGGAGAGGTCCCCGCCCGACGCTGGAGAAAGAGGTAAGTTTAACCCCTTCCTCTCCATCCAGCCCGGCGGGAGGGGGTCCCTGAGGGTGGGGGCACCCTCAGGGCACTATAGTTCCAGGAAAACAAGTATGTTTTCCTGGCACTATAGTGGTCCTTTAATCTGGCTAGCTAAGTAACATGGGCAGTTTTAGTTTACAAAAAATGATTTGCAGTACAACTTTTTGCTGAAACTAATGAATATGTAGCGAGGGCATGAGGGCACATAGCACTCTAAGGGACAGTACTCCTGCTACCTTTTTATTATATCTTACTGTATACCTGACCATGCCCAGTCTGAGCTACTTCTCAGCCACTACACACAACACTCACAGAAACAGAGCACAGGACTCTAGAAGGTGGCCCTAATCTGAAACCATGCCTGGGGCCCTGGGCAACCTTTATACGGTTTTGAACTGGCTATCTGTCTATCAGTCTGGCTGTAAATCTCTCTAACTAAGATGGCGGACCCCACTGCTCAGCAAATGGCATGTAAGGGACTTTGAAATACAGCTACTCTATCTATATTACACAGTTGCTTTGAGAAAGTGCCACACAATTCCTGCCACCACTGCAAACTGTTCCAGAATTGGGGATAAAGCCCGTAAATCGCACCCCTAATGATGCCTATAGGGGAAGGGCAGCACAGTTTTAATTACAACAGAGTATTCCATGCATCCTGCAGTATAGCAATAGCATTGCATGGGGAATGACA